CAACATTTCTTCTGAGACTCAAGGAAAATTCATATTTGTGAGCCTCTATAAAAATCAAGAAGCAAGTACATGCATAGTAGCACCAGGAAAACATTTTCAGGAAGGAATAGGGGAATAGAAAGGAATCACACCACAGCAAGACTAAGCCCAGTTATATCAACATTAAGCCTTATAGTTCCATGTCTAGCATCTAGGTCACATGGTAGTGAGATGTAAGCTCCAAAGGGCTGGGACAGCTCCATCCTGGTTGCAACCCACATGATCTCTCTCTCATGTTGGCTTCCTCACTATCTGCAACTTTCCTCCACAGATAATTTCATTCTGCTCTCTCAAATTTTGCAGGGTCTCCACAACAACTTCTGTTCCCCTCCCACAGCTTCAAGTATTATTGAAGGACTCCCAATAGGACTATGATCTCTTGACACAATTCCCAGTCTCCCAAAACTTCCCTTGAAATCTAGGTAGAAGCCTCCAGGACTCTACAAATCTTACACCCTTAATGCCTGAAAAATCAGTACTGTGTGAGCAATACCAAGGTCTAACACCAGGTCAAGCAGAGCTTGATCTCAGATGATGGCTGCAATGATCTCTGAGAGACTGGATGTCATTGTGAAAAAATCCTGAAGAAACAACTACCTACCCTTCTTCGGGCCTGGGGACTTTCCTTTGAAATGAAATATTTACTCTTTTGTACCCTTGAGCTTGTATGAGGACAGGGAATGTCTTGTTGATTCCAGAGATGCTCTTCAAGTTTGTTTCCTGTCCCACTTCAAAATATCTGGGGGGTTTTTCCTTGCACTAATTTCTTGAGCAATTATACCTCCTTTGGTCTCAATTTTGCACATGGTTCCCCTTCCAAAATTCTTCCTTTGCCTTTGATAATGCCAGCTGTGAATCAGCACTGTGCTCTAACCACAGACAGCACCAGCTGTACTCCCAGGGTCACACTGTGCCTATGCCCCGCTAGGGGATGCTGGAGAGAAAACTACTTGTTTGGGGCTTTCCTGAATACACAGAATCTCACCAGACATCCTTGAGGGCCAATAACCAGGAATGAGAGCTCACAGCAATCAAGTAGCCCAGGAGCCTGGGCAGGGAACCAGCTGCAGCAATGGAACAAAAACAGCAGTAACTGATGTCTGAGCACTCCTAAGTGTCACTAGATGTTTGTTTGTAAGGTTACAATTATGGGTAGGGTGTTTTATTTGTATCTTTCTAATTTTCCAGAGTAAACAATGAAAATTCAACAGTTTCTTTAAAATATACCAGCATTGTTGGATTGACCCAATATACACAGACATCAGGGACATAACTGAGTCCTCAAAGGACATGTAGCTGGATCAGTGTCCTCTAGACTTCACAAAACGTAGAGAGCACCCCCCTGGTCACTAGAAAAGCCAGGACCTGTGGCATGACACAACCTAGAGAAGTCCCAGGCTAGGGAGGAGGAGGAGTAGGAGAGCTGAGGACAGAGCTGCTAGTTCTTCCTGCTGTCTGCTGAGGCCTGCATCAGGCCCTACTATCTGGAAACCTTTGCCAAACCCACCTCAATCCCCCACCTGGCAAGAATACCTTACCTGGGAAAGTCATTCTAGCTTACTCATTCAAAACCCTTATTCACACACACACACACACACACACACACACACACACACACTCTCTCTCTCTCTCTCTCTCTC